CGCGCCAAACTTTTTGTTGATGATGAGTGGAAGAAGAGTGCGTGGCGCATCAAAAGAGACTGTTTAAGCCGAAAGCTTTATTCTTCTTGTGCTTTTTTCTATGACTAACGCCTTGTCTTCTTAATACTCTGTGCTACCTAACCCTTGCTCCCTAACATTTTCAGAACTATTTACCCTTTATCACCCCACTCTTCAAATTGCCGCCTACATTTTCATCAAAATTTCTCTCTGTTGGTGGACTTGGCTAGAATGTTGGGCCCAGGTGTGGCTCCATCCCTTGAACATGAATATCATAAGTTAACGAGAAAACACTTTGTGCGTGATCTATGGGCGCCGGCACTAAAACCACTCGTGATACGGACACCGGACATTTTCGCTATAAACGGTATGATATTCGTGTTCTGAAGGTCCAAGTCCTTCCGGGGGCAAGCCTTTGACAGAATCTACCTTGGGAAAAAAATCGGTTCAAATCTGCCCTGAATTTCGAGATAGGTGGCATTTAGGTGCAAATAGTTCCCTTTTTCCATGAGAAGTCATCTCAAAAGCTATTTTTCTCGAATGCCACCGTAGTAGAGAATACCATGCACTATTACATGATTACTCATCAAACCAGTATCTTGGACATTCGATTTTAATGGCTTGTTTTCGTCACTTATTGCTGGGCGGTCTTCAGCGCAGGGGTCCATTGTAGTGGTGCCAACACGGTTGAAGCGGAATCTCGTTGTATACTTTCATGGTACATTTTGGAAGGAATAAGCTACTTATTTTCAGTAGTACTTGTTGTGTTTCAACCATCGTTTTTCAACTGGTTATACGTTGTATGTAATAGTTACTAATCAACTTGTTTCAGGTATGAATCAGCCGATATCATTTCTGATCTTCTCCTTAATATTTTTGCTTTTTGTTGCCTCAGAGGGAAATGCTACTCCTGGTGAGTCATTTGGTCAATATTACGAAAACCAACAACATCGTTTGTTTTTATGATTCATTACGATTCTCCCGTATAGCTAGTTTGTTTGAGGGAGTTTCCATGAACAAAGGAAGTAGCCGAAAACTCTCCTCTATTATGGCATTGAAATTATTGTTTTTGTATTAGTTAGTATTGTATAATTTTTAGTAGTAGTGCGTGTGTGAGTGGATAGGTGATGTAAACTCCATATCCCCGAGACGCGGTAGGCGTGGATGCGTACTTCGCTTGAGCATGGAGTAGCATGATAGGTTTTGTGGGGTCTTTCCGCCTGCCACATCTCAGGGATACCACATCTTACATTGCTAGGGAGCGAAGTGTAGTGGCAAACGGGGCTGCTTATCATGCGCGCGATCCGTAGATTAGATCTCGGATAGGCTCTGTTCAGGCCAAGCTTGCGTTCTATCCCTCCAGGACCGGTAAATTGGTACCAAACATCTGATGGGAACATCATCACGGAACCAGTACATCGATATTGACGCGTCGATCTACACATCAACTGGTCCCCATAACTCATTCTTTAAATCAGATAGTGTTTGAAGTACTTCTGCGATCCTGAATACAAGTAGAATGCGTGGCGCATTTTAAAGAAGGATTGATCAACGCCGAAAGCTTAACCATTTCCTGCAGTGTACCGTTCTGAGTTTCGCTTTCTAATCTAATGCCTCGTGTTCTTACCTGTTTCCCGAAGTAGTGGTTTGTACCAGGCGGAAGTGGTGTGATGGCAGTCAACCGGTCTCAGGATATCTTTCAACTGCGGAGCCTTCCTCCTCTTCCTTTTCCTTCCTCTTTCCTTCTTTTTCTTCCTTCCTTCTCTCATCCTTCTTCTTATTTTCCTTCCTCTAAATGCTCGAACAGAAGATGCGATGAGAAAACACCTCTGGACCCTCACAGCAAGAGAGCATCCGGTTGACAGATATCTTGTAACCCAGTCGACCCCACCTCAATCTGTACATTGCTCGGTCTGAACCGACCCTGAGACAAATCATGCGTGCCATCTTTCCGGGTTGAGTTTGTTGCTATTTTGATGAGGAACCATTGGCCCGAAATGACGAACTTCAGCAGGGCTCAGAACTCGGTATATTGATCATGATAGAATCCAATTATTTTAA